TATAATTTTAAGCTATACACGTTCAACGTTTAGTTTTATGGACATAAAAGATACGGTTGAAAATTAAAAATCCGGGAGTAATAATTATTAATGAAATAGCAAATCGTAGGTATTTCTGAAACATTTTACATTTTTAAGCTCCTAAAATTGGTTCTTTGCAAAGAGTTGGTTGTATGCACAAAAAAATGCGAAATATGTATATGTGTAATTTATTTTTTTACCATTCTCCTCTGGGAATGCCTGTAAAATGAGAATGTAAAATTTTCTTAAAATCAAATATTGAAAAAATACAATTTTTCGCAAAAATCCGAATATATACCTGTGCTAGGGCAACGCAGGCCAGAACGGCAATGACGATCAGGGCGGTTTTCATTTTGGCGGAAGGAGTTAGTTAAATACCTTTAAAGAAAGATAATTTTTTGTGATAATGATGTCGATTTGACGATTCCCAGTCGGAATTTATACCCCCCATGACGTGACGTGACGCGAAGTGGCGAAATAAATATGCACAATGAGATTTATCTCGTCGAAAATCTTTGCCTCGTGGAACGATTTTATGGAGATTTGCACACGAGGCGACATTTCATTTGATTCAGGATTTCTATATAAAAGCTCGATGATTTGAAAGATAACAGATTTACATTCGGTGTGCTACACGGAAGGAGAGAAATGGCACCATTCAGTTTTATTGATTAGATAATAGTGTAAAAAATGAACGAATAGTCTGAAATTCTATGCTGCACGATAATGTACCTTGATTATATGAGTAGGCTCAGCTATGTACTTTATGCGAAACATTTGTCCGTCAGCAGGATAACGGGAGAACGGAGCGAAATAATCGATATCGATTTGCGGCATCATACTCACGACCCCAGAGGGAGGGACCTAATCACGACCCCAGAGGGAGGGTCCTATCAACTTTTGGGATCAATCCGGCTACCCCCGTCTAAATAGGCGTCGGGGGGTGGGGCGTGATGGGGGAAAATGAGATTTTTTAAATCTGAAATTAAGTTTATAGATGAAGTAAATAAACTAATCCTAAGTGGTCTGTGGAGGTCGAAGTTGAGGCGAAGTGAGACTGAAGCTACTTCTTTATGTACGTTTACGACGGTTTATTTGCATTGAATTAATTATAAATTTTTGAAGAATGAAACGAAATATGAATAAATAATATAATGTAGTAAAATATGTATATAAAACAGGTTCATATTTTAAATCTATGTATTTACGAACAATGGGTGTGTAGTGAAGATTCATATGTAGATATGCACGAATTTATGTATCCTCTTTCTGGAATTTATGAATGATTATTGTCAGCATCAAGACATATGTATGTATTCATATTCACGCAAATACTTATTTATTAAAGATGTGCATGATTCGTTATTCGTTGGAGAACAAAAGTGTGGCCACATCCACGTCCGTTTTAATATAATGGAGGTCTCTACGCGCATGTTCACTGATTTTGTTCAAACCCGTGCCAATCAATGGATTACAATTTTGGCTAATGTGAAATTTGCAAATGGCACTTAACATCTGCCAATGCGCAGGTTTAGTGAAAATGTTTGCATCCGAAGAGGGTAAAACGAGCAATAATTTTGTAAAGTTTTCGAGTTAGGGGAATTAACATGTCCGCTAATGCACACTGGTCCGGATTGCTATATTCTTTGGCCAAAACCCATAACTTTAAAACCAATGAAGCTTTCGTAATTCTGTTATCGGGAGTCGGCGTGTGATTGTCAAGTGTAGTTTTGGGTAATGCCCGAAACACCCCCGGGGTGTGATCAAAGGCAAAATGTGTCTCATGACTATTCCCATAAAGTGGGGTGTCGTTGAAAAGCTCTCCTCAATTCCTATTTAGTGTAATTTTAGACAAAGCAGGTACAGCCACTCCCAAGGTCAGGGGGTGTGGTCACAGGTCAAGCTGTGTCTTATAACCCACCCCTCATATGGGGTACCGTTGGAAACTTCATCAGGTTTGCAATACTGATAATTGCTTAGATAAATATACATCCGAGGGTAATTGTTGCTGAGTATGCAAATACAAGTAGGCTTCCCCACGAACGGGACGGTACGGGATTTCGTTGTGTCGTCCCATCCCGAAGATTAACCGATATGAAATTGTCGGGACGAGACGGGATGGATGCCACCCCGGCCCAAGTCCAGTTCCGAGACGTGTTCCTCAGCGACGTTAAAAAATTCCTTAGCAAACTTCAAAAGATCCATAGCAAAAAAAATCCTAAGCAGCGTAAAAAAGTTTCCTTGCCAACGTTAAAAAATTGCATAGCAGCCATAAAAAAGTCGGTCGCAACGTCATAAACTGTCTAGGAACATTCAAAATATGTGTTGACATGGATGGGTTAGCGTCATAAAAATTCGTAAATCGTTTCGAAAACAAGCCAAAGATTTCCTCTGGAGCAGTGCATCGCGACGGTTATAGACTGCTTGATTTTATTACGTAATTTTGATATATTTATGTAAAGCTTGATAAGTGGCCCGTCTTTAAGACGGGCTTATGGGCTAGTGTATACTAAACCCGCAGTAAGTAAACTTTGCTCTTTGGGTACGTCCATATATTACGTCATCATTTTAGTGGGTGGGTAGTTTAGGTATTCTTATCTTTCCCATGTTAAAATTCCCTATCCCTTAATGTTTACGTTTAGTGGGTGGGTGCTAAGATCGAGAATTTTTGATAGCGTAACATACGGATGGTCCCTTTCTTATGTAAGTTATTCTAGATTTTGTATGGTTTTGTAACGTTATTTTTACGAGTGTATCAAGGAGTGGGGTATAATCCAACCTTAACGTAACCTAATTATGACCAGTAATTGAGTCATAAATTTATAAATACTCTCGTTGATGTCTGACTCGATCTTCCGGCAGTTAGCCTTGCCTACCTGTAATTAAAATATTTACAGAGATGGTTAACAATTAGGTTGAAATATTGTATAGAAAGTTAAACGAGTAAATAATAAACCGTAGTAACGTTAGAAGTAGCTCGTCCTGTAATACTTCGGTGACAACATTAGTTGGTACATAAACTTCTGCACCAATGGTGCAAAATAAACCAACAAAAATGCATGATTTTGATGGAGTTTTACACCGGTGGTAGAAAATAAGCAGATAAAATAGATGCATAATTTTCGTGGGGTTTTGCACCAATGGTGGAGAATAAGCGGGGAAAATATACCCAGAAATTTGACATGATTTCGACTTTTTTAGACCCCTTTCGTGGGGATGTATTTCTGTGGGTTATTCTGCACTTTTGGTGCATATTTAATCAATTCTCCCAATTGCTTTGCATCATTTTGTGTCATCGCTTGTTCGATACGAATGGTGCTATTAATTTCCTAAAAATTGGACATGGGCCTATTTAATTAGCATCCATTGATGCAAAAAACTCATTAACAGACAGACGGACAGGAGGAATTCAATAGCTCTCATGCTACGCAGGACGAGCTAATAATGAGTAAAAAAGTATTTACCTGAATATTGTTAGCTCCAAACAAGGACACTTTAACTTAAAAATTATTTGAATATCTAGATGTGTCCTTTTTATTATAGTCCCAATTACTTAACTTTACTAGTGTAATGTCGCCGAATCAATAAAGAACTTAAACCCTTATCTAATTATAATAATTGTAATTAATCACTACTTTAGTCAATTAATTTTTCGCACGACAACAACTTTGTCTAATTGACAACTGCAGAAGGACTACTTAAAGAGTACGTGTTATTAAATATCAGTTCATTGCATTACCGGGGGAGATGGTCGTGCGTGTTGTACTCCTCCGTCCGCAGGTTGGTCGTGTCGCAAGACAGACGGACGTGATGGGTACATAAGCCCTGACTCGGGCTAAAAAGGATGGAGAACACGTTAAAGAAGTCAAAAATATTAACTGAGGCGTATGTACTTCGTCCGCAAAATTAAGGTTATTTACTCTGCCTATAATCTGTAATGACCCTCTGTATTATCTTATTTTATTACACTGTGTTGCCACAGTTGAAAAGTGCAATATATTTGTAAATATATCTCTAAATACGTTGTAATTTTACAGCTAAATAATGGTTAGGATACGTCAACCGCGTTGCCCACATTGGTGTAATATCTAAGTGTTTAAAACAAGTTATATTAACAGTTTAGGCAACGTAAAGATTTCGATTCCGGAGTATTCAACCATTCTTAAAAGTATTTATATAAATAGAATATCTTCCAATATTTTCTTTATTTCCCCCATCCTCGCACACTTTAGTGTTTAAGTATATCTGTGAACGTGAGTAGAAGAAGCACAATCTTAAGCCTTACCCTCACGCGAGGAGGAGAATTTCGGAGCAGGAATATTCTCCTAGTCTCATCCTTCTCTCTCGCTTTGCAGAATACATGGAATCACACATCTCGGAACTTCGCATCGACCCTGTGGGGGGGGGAGGAGTCGATCTCAGGGAAATGCATCCTCCGGTGTTTAGAATTTGGTTTTCTGCGTCTGATGGTATTTTGTTCAAATTTTTTGGACTGGCACAAGGTACACTTATGCCCCTTACCATCAAGTGATGTAACCTTATGTAGACTGGTAAGGGGCATAAGTGTACCTTGCGCCAGTCCAAAAAATTTGAACAAAATACCATCAGACGCAGAAAACCAAATTCTAAACACCGGAGGATGCATTTCCCTGAGATCGACTCCTCCCCCCCACAGGGTCGATGCGAAGTTCCGAGATGTGTGATTCCATGTATTCTGCAAAGCGAGAGAGAAGGATGAGACTAGGAGAATATTCCTGCTCCGAAATTCTCCTCCTCGCGTGAGGGTAAGGCTTAAGTAGTCATTAAAATACAAGGGACGACAAGGAAGGCTTCATTTTAGACCCTTTTAAGCCAATAATCCCTAAGCGTGTAGCAGGGGCTTAGCTACCCTTTTTCTCTAAATTACTAAAAATAGACCATTCCACTTTTGTCCATTCTTCCACAAATCAATTCTTTTTATTTTCTGGTTGGAACACGGCCCCTGTTAATTTAATGTTGGCAGGTAGATTTTCCATTATTTAGCTACTCAAGCTTTCGTTAAAATTTCTTGTATTTAATATTAGAAAATACTTATCGGATAAAAACTTAATTTCGTATCTTGATTTAAGGACCTAATCAAGTCCCTGACGGGTTTCTCAAATAAATATTAGCAACAAGTAGTTAGACTTTGAGAAAGACGAGGCCGTCTAATAATTCACAATATAAGTACACGATGAAGTGCCCCCATTGCCCAAAAGTATTTAAACTTAAACAGCAATTTAAAAACCATGTCATCACGCATTACACAAACGCTTACGTTAAGTGTCAGGTATGTATAAATATATTAAGGAGTTCCAACTTTGTAAAATAAATTCACTTTTTTTGCTCTTTTCTCAAACACTGTTTTCTAAATTCCTCGCGCGATTTCGAAATTTTCTCCAATATTTTTGCTTAAAAATGAAATCAAGGTTAAGATAATTTTATTTTTTAAGAGTGTAAAAGGAACGAAATCGCGTCGCAAATTGCGACTTGCAATTGAGGAAAAGCGTTTTGAGATACAGTCAATCCAAGAAGTATTGGCAACCCCCGTGCAAGCTAAATAAAATTGCCTATACCTTTGGAATGCATTACCATATTAGCATGAAATTTTGCACACATTTTGTAAATTTATTGTAGTATTCGATTATGATCGTGTTTTGCTGATTTAAATTTCATGAACAGGTGTTGTCAATAATTTGTTGGAAAACTTACAAAAATAACCCACAAAAAGTATTGGCACCATTTGTTTAAAAAATCTTAAATCAAAGAAACTCAATCAAAGAAACGATTTTGTTTGGACACACTGCTTCTAGTACAATGTGCCACCTCTCCTCGATGCCGTTGGAGCTGAAACACGCCTTGGAATTGACTCCACAAGTTTCTTTCCGATATTATTTCCCACTCGTCTTTCAAAACTTTGACCAGCTTGATTCTTCACGACTGGTTTTTGCCAGACAGTGCCAGATACTCCTTACTCAACCGAAACAAACAAATTCATGTCGGGAGACTGTGCAGACAACGGAAGAAGCTTAATCTCTTTGGTGTCCAAAAACGTCTTCGCTAATTTGGCCGCCTGCTTGGCGTCACTACATTTTTGGGGTACAAAATTCCTTCTTGGTTCAGTTTGTTGAGCAGATCATGTCAAATTATCGTTTGGAATTCTTAAATAGACCTAAATGGTCATGATTTAGACGTTACTGACCAGTTTACTACACGCCGACTTGGACATTTAACCCCAAACCATAATCAATCCGCCTCCGTGGTTGAATGTCGGATGCAAGCATTGGTTTTTTTTAGCCCAGCTGGGCATCCACCAGACTTGAACCATCGAATTTGATCCGAATAATCAGCCGGGGCTTCTGTGAAACCAGTAGGGTCTTTTCAGTCATTACAAATTTACACCGAGTGGTATTTAGCCAATTTTAATTTCCCTAGTTGATTCGGTTTGGGGGCCCATGCGTCCTTTGGGCTACTCGACCCTTAAACGCCATGGCATGAATTTTACTGTTCATCGAATTGCCCAATTTTTTGACTCCACAGTTGGTTCTCAAAATCCAGTTGAGTTTTGGAACTGAAATATTCCTCTGTCGAAAAACTTGTTGAGTAATTAATCTGTAGATTTTGGGCGCAGGTGACTTTTTTAACCCAATCGTTGAAAACTAATCACCAGGATTTTAATTTTCCGTTTATTGGATTTGTCTCTAACAGTAAATATGCCGAAGCATGTTTTCTGTCTGCTTTTTCTATATAAAGTCTGTTTTGGGAAACAGACCATATTATTTCTCCCTCTGGCAAAAACAGCCGTTTTGGTGTCAAAATATTGGCTCTGGACAACACCAATGTAGACTTTTCAAGCAGTTAAAGTCATATTTTGTTATCTAATTAACTTACCGTTACGAAATGCGGAAGTTGGTTAGCATATTAATTTTACACACTGAACTACACCAAATGTTGCCAATACTTTTTGGAGGTTCGTATCTGATGGGTTTGGGTCAAAATTAGAATTTCGTTGCGACTATTTAATTTAAATCAGAAACGTGACTATGATCGAACACTACATGAAATTTGGTAAATGCGTGCAAAGTTTCATGGCAATTTGATAATGCATGCCAAAGTTATGACGAATTTTATGTAGCTCTCGTTGGTGTTGCCAATACTTCTTGGATTGACTGTAAGAGCAAAAAAAGAGATTTTTTTACAAAGTTGGGAGTCCCTATTATACAGGGTGGTTTAAATGTCAGGTTACAATGGGAAATTTTTCAATGGGAAAAATTCGCAAATCTGCATTAGTTACCGAAATTTCGCCTCTGAAATTCAATATTTTAAGAATTTTGTCACTAATGTTCCATAAGTTTTCATAAAAATTAATAAAAATGTCAATCCCAAATCCGTAATTAATGGAAATTTGCGAATTTTTCCTATTGAAAAAGTTTCCATCGTATCCTGACATTTAAACCATTCTGTACAATAAATTTAACAAATAAATATTCAAGTCATACATATGTAACTGTCGCCTATTTGATTACATCTAGAGTTGCGAGAAAACTTTAAAAAACCCCAGGATGCTGTACAGGCACATGCGAAATATGCATGTCAACAAGCCGAAATCCACAGAGGCGAGGTCTCGATTCCCTTGCACGTATGTAGGCTGCGAGAAAACATTTTTGCATAAAGGTAGTGCCACAGATCACTTCAAAAGAGAGCACGCCGAGAACCCTGTCCGATTTCCTTGCATCCTTTGTGGGAAGGAATTTAAACAGATATGCAGCTTAAAACTGCACGCATTATCGCATACAACAGAAAAGGCCCATGTCTGCCCTACTTGTGGAAGGGGTTTCGCAATAATGGCGGTGTTGAAGGCGCATGAGGTAGTGTGAGAATTTATCAAAAATAAATTAACCCATCATAATACAATTAATGCGTCAAATTTATAAATAGTGCCCAACCAAAATTTATTTCCTTCCAACCAAAAGCAATAATTTTCACAACACTAAAACTTGCAACTAATCGATTTTTTTATCCAACCAAAATGTAAAACAATATAACAAGGTTTTTGACTAAATATTTACAATTCTATCTCTCTTCAATTGTCAAATTTCTTTAAAATTTTGTTGTATTTGGATATTTTTGCCGCCTTAAGTTAATTGGAATATTAAATTATTTGGTTATATTATCTTACATTTTGGTTGGATTAAAAAAACCAATTGGTTGCAAATTTTATAACTTTTGTTTGGAAGAAAAAAAAACATGGATGGGCCGTTCTGCTGGCACTCACAATTTATGTTTTCCATCTTTTAGATAACCCATCAGGACAAATCGGTCAGACAAAAATTCGCGTGTAAATTATGCCCGAAGACTTTCACCTGCAAGGTCGGATTCTGGCGGCACAGACGGGATTATCATCCAAGTCCTGAAAATTCCTCCAACACAGTCCGCAATGAGAAGAATGACACAAATCTTCAAGTTCAGTGTGAGGTATACAAAGATAAAATAATTTTTGAACAGTTTACTAATCTACAGTATGTGACATAAGTATTGCTACGATGACAAAACGTTTATATCGATATGATGCCGTAACGTTTCAACTTTGCAACTCCATGTCGATATAAACGTTTTGTCATCGCGGCTATACATATGCTATACATACTGTATAAGCCAATTAGTAAGGATCTTGATCCCATGATCCTAAACAGATTTGCCGGAAAACCCTAAAGAATCCCACAACGCTCAATATGCACATGAGAAGCATGCATACTAACAAACCCAAATCTGTTTGTTGCTATTGTCCTAAAGAATTTGCATATCCCTCAGGTTTGCGAAGGCACACGAAAAGTTTTCACAGATCGGAGCAGCGACCTCGATTTCCTTGCAATTTTTCAGGCTGTGGTAAAACATTTCTTGATAAAGATTACGCCGTGAAGCACTTTAAGAAAGAACACACCGAGAGTCCCGTACGATTTCCGTGCACCCTTTGCGACAAGGAATTTAAATCCAGGTTGGCCTTAAACCAACATATTTCACAACACACGACAGAGAAGCCGTTTGTCTGCGCAGCTTGTGGCAGGAGGTTTGCAACGATGGGTGTTTTGAAAGCGCATGAGGTAAGACGAGACATTTAAATAAATTGCTCTCAAGGGTGTTGATTTAATTTCTCCTCGGTCATTTTTTACTATATACACGGACGGCGACAATTTCAGCTACAATTCATGTACCTGTTAATCCTTATTTTTGACAATTTTACATTTTACATTTTAATTTTTTTAAATTTTTTTTTTTGAAATGAGTAGTCCAATATGAGAGGTAGATCATAACCACCTTAGAGTTCAGATAGGAACTTTAGTTGAGCAGGAATTAAAATATTTTAAAAATTCGGACAAACATAGACTTGGCAGAAAAATGGTCAGAATATAAATAAAGGAGCAGAAATTTTTTCATATTAAAAAGCGGTCTGAGCGACATAAGTAGATGTCAGCTACTCAGGATAGGCATAAAGATCCAAAACCACAAACAACAGAGTTGGAAAGTTCAAGCAAAGTGCTATTCCATACCCAAAATCAGTTTAAAAAAATTAGCACAATTAAATTAGGTTCCGAATAATTAGCTGACGACATGGTTAAGGTGGACGGTGGAAAACTCAAATACTGAGGTGTTTGAAAAAAAATTGGGTCCGTTGCGTCACACCTTTGTGAGATTTCGTTTTTTGCAGGATAAAGTGGGGAGAAATTAAATCTACACGCTTTATACCTCGGGAATTAATTTCTAACCATACTTATTCTAGAGAACCCATCAGGAGAAATCTTCCCGAAAAGAGTACAAGTGTCTGTCTTGTCCTCAAATTTTCTTGTGCCCAACCGGCCTTCGGAACCATGTTAAGAGTTACCACGAAAATCAGAGCAACTATCCCTGCACCTTTTATGAAAAGAGGCTAAAATCTGCGCCTGGATTGGAATACCATGTGCAAGCAAAATACTCAACAAGTAAGGAATTTCGTTATTCCAGTGACAAATGCGGATTAAAAACCTTATCCAAGGGCAATCTAACGAAGCACATGGACAGGATCCATGAGGGTATAAAACGGTACGGATGCTATTTCTGTGGAGTGAAATTCTACGCTTTTTTTGGCCTTATTCGTCATTGTAGAAAACACACGTTGCAAAAACGAGTACACTTCGATTAATTTGTACTTGACTATAAATTTTACGATTTCGTCATTGATATATAGTTGCCAATGAAATGTTTTATTAGATTGAATAATTTAAAGGAAATTTTGAAATCTTGCAAATATAAAAATACTCAAAAGCGTTGCAAAGTTTGATTAGTTTACCACTGGTATGATAACATGAACTATCAAACTATATGAACTAATTAATGAACTGAAGGTGTTAACTACGTATAAACGAATACAAGTACTTGCTTAGTTATTTTTAGTAAGTAATTTAGCATACAGCTTTTAAAAAATTTAAATTTGTTACAATAAATATAAAATTAATTGCCTCGAAAAGGCCTGGCCATGTTTTATGTAATTACCAACTTATAATTACGGTAGTATTTTATTGGTGGTGAGCGCCGCGCGGCGCTCATATGCGCACATGTATTTACACATTTGTGAATCTCCCATTTTTGTATGTAGGTCGCGGATACGGAATAAATGATTTTTTAAAAATTGACCTACATTTATGTCCATACAATTTTGTATAAAATAAAAATGAGTACGGAACATTTATATAAATATCGTCGAATTAGCCAGAATTGTCATATTTAAATTGAATGCATAAAATACCAATCTTTTTAATAAATATATATGCATGCAAAAGGATGTCTTAACGGTTGTCGGTATCACTGACGTCGGTTGTCACACATCACTGCCACCTGATCGGTTGTCAGTGTCGACCACTTGTCAGATATCAGTTATCACTGCGATCGGTTATCACTACTATCGGTGGTCACCCGCGGATATCACTGCCCATGCTTTTAAGCTCCCCCACCCCTTTTGGGGTCGGTCCCCCCACGTCGAAGTTCCCACAAAATTTGACTTACCCCAAAAGTGTCTCACCTTACTCTAAAACTCGTCTCACCTGACCCCTAAACTCGTCTCAGGTTGCCCCAAAAGTGCCTCAAGTTCCCACAAAACCCGTCTCACCTTACCCCAAAAATTTCTCGCATCACCCAAAACACCGTCTCACGCTACCCCCTAAGTTTCTCAAATCACCCCGAACATCATCTCTCGTTACCCCAAAATTTTAATTAACCCCACACACCTGTTCAGGTTACCCCAGTAAGTATTTGTTGCGTAACCCCAATACTTTTCCCAACAGTCCAAGGTATAGCTCCAAGCATAGGTCCTATCTAGTATAGGTACCAGTATATGATCGGAGACACCGTAAATAATTCGCGAATTCGCATAAAATTTTCCAGGATTATCCCTTGCTTTCCGACATGAATAGATCGCTGTGCATTAAATTAAATTTTCAATTAGGCATTAGACATTAGGCATTTCAACTTAATAAACCCAATTTACAAATAAATTTCAAATCATAAAAAATAACACAAAATGAAAATTGTTCAGGATCAAACACAATATGGTGCCAAAAATAGGTCATCCATGTCACAAAGCCCTGACGCCGAGGTGTGTCGCCACACGCTGGCACCAGGGCGTTTTGCCGACGCCAAGCGAATCGTCGACACGGTCATAACGTCTGTACCGATGCGTACCATCGCATGACAGCGATCATCACGGGACACATGGCCGACAATTCCTTGTTGGGACAACGTTTAGCAACGGAAGAGAAGGGCAGGAAGAAACTGGAAACGCAGAAAGACGACATGGAGGCCGAGAATGCAAAATTAAAGGTTAGTTTTGATTAATTTATTTTTTAAAGAATTTTAAAAATTCAAAATTTTGAACAAACATTTTCTAATTTTAGCTTGGTCTCAGCCAAGCGCTTCAGACCATCGTGATGTTGAGGAATTCAATCAACGGCTTTGTTAATACGTATGGCCTCCCCCATAAATTCTCCCGATCTCAATAATTTGGGCGACCATGTGTCTCATTTTGCCTAACGTTTATTCCATAGCAATATTTTAAATTCTTCTGTTTTTGTCAATTTGGATTTCAGTTAATAAAAGATTACAATTCCTTAAAATAATAAACCAAAAACAATTTATTTGCATAATTTTAGAGGCCCTGCATATCTAATGAAATAATTTCTGCATATTTTAAATTTGGGTGTAAACATTGTACAACACAATTTCATGGTATATTTAGCACGTTGCAAGTGCTTATGCTGTTAAGCTCATGCTGTTAAGCATGGTTTCTGGTGCATTTTAGCTTTCCCGTATAGACATGATAGCATGATCGAGATAAAGCCTCCGTCTCATCTCTCTTGCACCACATCCTCCATCCATCTTCAAAACGGTCTAACAAAGTGAAGAATATTGAGTACCTACACGTGGCCGAAATGACACATAAAATTCAAACCTGGAATTTTTAAGGGGTACCAACCAAACAAAATTGGGAAAATTGTATGATTAATTATTGTATAATCTTAAAAATTCGTTAATTTTTGTTTCATAGAATGCAGGTAGAAACTGCAGGCAGGAGAAGAGCTGCATTGCTTATAAAAACAAGAATTTAGATGCACATATATAAATATGTATATACGGTGAGATGATGCTTAAACTCTTGTTTTGGAGAATGGAGGGTGGACAATGCAGCCAGAGGTGAAGAGTTCCATTCTTCCCAAAAAACGATTATGTACATATGCAAGGTCTAAATTCTGGTTAGAGAGAATGAGAGGGTGAGAATACCGCCAGAGCTGGATTGCTCAAGGGAGAATGCAGAGTGAAGCAGTTGTACTACGCGTGAGTAGTACATAAGTGTCAATATGTGCGGGTAACCAGCAGATCTTGGATTTCAATAAAATATGGAAAGTTTAGTTTTTGTAAAAAAAAATCCAAAAAATTAAAAATACAGAACAGAGGCCTGTAAAAACTAATAATAGTGCAATACTAAAAATGCAAAAAAATTCAAAAATCAATTCAAGACTTCAACATTAAGTCCAACAATCCGCTCCAATGTCAAGTTCGATTCCTTCCATGACGGAAACCTAATAATAGTTCGCACTTAAAATTATAAAAATTTGAAAAAAATAAAATAAATCTAAAACCTACAAGATCCAAAGCTTCGCCAATTCCTAATTGGATGGATGCATAAGCCATGTAAATGGATACATAAGTCTAAGTGCAAACTGCATATGTGTGTACATATTTATATGCATGTGTGCATTGCAGGTTTTAAATTCACGGCGAGACCTATCTACCTTATTTTGTACAAAAATGAAAGTTCCCATTGCGAAAACCAATAAAAAATCCATCTCGGAACCTTCTTGACGCAGGCAAGCCACTGCACCTGCGCTATACACCGCATGTATTGATGTAATCGGTTCTCTATGCTGCATTCGTATGTGAGAAGAACCAAAGTAGAGATGCGTGAAAGGGTCGGTTGCAAAGTTCTAAGTATGCAAAATATGCTATGCTGGAACCTCGGAGTCCGCTGCAGCAGCTGTTGTTACCAGCGCGCTGGTAACAACATTTCATATAAATTCATATAAATTCATATAATTTCATATAAATATGAACATTTTTTGTTTCACAGCTTCTTTCTCAACAAGAAAACACTAATATGTCCGCCTCTCTTAATTTTATGCTTATTTTTGTCGCTCATTTATATATAAAGCAAACATATACAGAGCACAATTTATACTATTACTACTAAACACAATAAATAATGCACTAACCATTTTTACAATGCCAATGCCGATTGTGGAGTGAAGTTGATCAATGCAAATTAATCCTGAATGAGTGGCATACATACAAATACATTGATTTATGTAATTAGTTAAAATCTGTGCATATGAGTAAGCTCCATTTTTTACGGCATTCGTGTAATAAAATTAATGTTACCGTCGGTGTACGGAAGTTGATTGTGCAAAACAATGGGCGAGAAAGGTACATAGTAATAATTTATTGATTGGAGCATAATAAATATGTATGGTAGGAAAATGCATAGTTATTAAGGTGTCATATCACATGTCATGAATAACACGAATCTGACTAAATTTATAATCTTCGACTGTACTTCGACTGTACTGTACTGAAAACGCATGAAAACGTAGAAACTTGTTACAAGTTATGATTATTTGGCGAAAATGTTTTTTTGGTGTAATTCAATGTCGATTCAGAAATGAAGTGAAATATAATAATATTAAAACTATCACTTTATTCTTGAAAATTAAGTTTGATGACGAAACAAAGCAGTATGCAAATGACGGTGACCAAATATTTACTTATTTTAAAAAAATCGCATGAAAATCTGTACTACCTCAGATTGGATGGGCCTTTGGTTTACCCGGCTGGAATATGATTAGTTGAAGCAATACATAATGGATGGGCAAACTAACGGAGATACCGGCATAGTTTTTACTTAACACTTAAAACGGAGGTAATTTGATTTTATACAGGGTATTTGGATTTAAAAACTAGTCATTTATGTCTTATCCAGATACTTATCAATATTTTAGATAAGCAGGGAAACTCGTGTTTATCAACCAAATCACTCCAAATATTGGCATGCCCACCCATGCCAATATTACTCTACCCCGGTACATGGAAACCAAGTCAAACTCATGTGTTGACAATTTCGTCAAATTTGTTGAAAAATACCAGTAATTTTTATCCATTAGTGATATAAAGACGAGACCAAAGTGCACGATAGCAAAAAGGTAAGAACGGTACATAATACATATTCTTTGTTTGGTTGTGTGCATGTTTGATGCGATTTTCTATTAATAAGCTACATTTTCCATTACCGATGAATAACAACAACGGCAATAGGCATGACAGCTATACAATTCCAAAGAAGTCAACCGACGCGCAGGTGTGTATTAGTGCTGACCGGCGACAAAGGCAATTGCGACCGGAAATACTGGAGAAGAAGAAAGCCGAGATGAATGCAGCCGTAGTTAAAAATGTTTGGAAAAGTATTCTTGTAAATATTTTGTCTACTATAATTAGAAAAAAATGAATAAATAAATTTTTAATGCACAGCGATCTATTCATGTCGGAAAGAAAGGGATAATCCTGGAAAATTTTAGGCGAATTTGCGAATTATTTAGGGTTTCTCCGATCATATATAGGTACCTATACTAGGACCTAAACTTGGACATATACCTTGGACTGTTGGGAAAAGTACTGGGGTTACGTAAGAAATACTTCCTGGGATAACCTGAAGAGGTGTGTGGGGTGATTTAAGAAACTTTTGGGGTAACGTGAAATGATGTTTGAGGTGATTTGATAAACTTTTGGGGTAACTTGAGATGATTTTTGGAATGAGAGACACTTTGGGGGTCAGGTCAGACCCTTTTGAGGTAACCTGAGACGGGTTTTGAGGTCAGGTGAGACACTTTTGGGGGAACTTGAGACGTGAGGGGGCCCACCACAAAAGTGGGGGTGGGAGGATTTGAAAACATTGGCAGTGATATCCGCCAGGGTGACAACTGATAATAGTGATAACCGATCGCAGTGATATCTGACAACCGACCGCAGTGATACCGACAACCGATAACACATTGCAAAAGGCACGAGAGGCCATGAATGTAAATACTATAGGGATTGGAATTGTATGGGTAGGAGAGCGAGACAGAATGGGGAGAGATTATGCGGGATGTTGCCTCATGCCACGATTTGGTGTCTGGTGTACGAATATATAGTGCTTCTATAGGATTTGGTGCTTGTGCCCGATTACTTAGCGCTTTATGTAGAATTTGGTGCCTCTATCCGAGTAATTAGTTATTATAAAGAATTTAGGAATATTCAAAGGTGCTGCGGGGTTGGAAATAAGTATTGTTAAGTTCAAGTTTTGTACAACCTAAAGCCACATAAATTCAATACTTGACAGAACTATCATTTTTAATAATAAACGTTAATACAATTCACGAATATCTAAAACAATCAGTCCCCATTAAATAGAATGTGTTTACTTAAACGTTGGCGAATTTGAGGTTTATTTTACAATTTTCGTTTACCATAAAAGTAAACCCTGATCCTTAAAAAACTGCACGAGCTTTATAGTAAGGGTTACTTGGTACTCTGGTTTCGAGTAAATCTTAGCTGGCCGTAGGACGGCGGAGCTAAATAATTCTCTGGCAACCGTTGGTTTTACTTGTCGTTTTGGTGTGCTTGGTGGGGACGTCAGAGTGTCATTGTTAGCCTTTCAGGGTGTTAAAATTTATGTACTGTAGGTCACGTTGGATTGAAAAGCTTGGGTTGTTGATGGGCTAGCCAAGTGGTTCTTTATTTCGTTGTGGTAACCGTCAAATTTATGATAACAGTTGGGGCAGCAAACCATAAGGTGGTCAGAAACAAATCCGCGTTCTCGAATGTGTGGAGCTGTTAAACAATCCTTAGGTTAATCCCAAGATCAATAGGGTTTCATGTAAAAATGATGTTCGTTAATCTTACGAGTTTGGACCGAGAGTTCCATATTCTGAGAATCCGGGTTAGGGCTCGATTGCACACAATAGGTGGAAGAAGCGTTAGGAAATAAACGACTTCGGTTGCCAACACTACGAGATACCACCTCGAAATGCAATGAACATACCGTGGAGGCATCACTGTTCCCCCAGTTTTCGTCGTTCACCAAACCTCTTCCAAAATCCAACCATTACTGAAGTCGATCGGGTGCTTTTGGAAATTTAAGAATTTAGTAAATAAATTTTCGTATATAAATTCATAATTATTACAACGATCGAACGAATTAAAATATCTGAGCATTGATATTCCCGGAGGTAAACCGTAACGCGATTTGCACCCAGGCACGGATCATGTTATGTGACAATTTGAGTTCTGTCAAAAATATAATTTCAGCAAATGCTAAATTTAAATGAACAAAATTGTAGTATTTGCCAGTATTTAGATTAATTGTAACGATAATTTAAAAAAAACTGACAAACACAATATTTGTACACATAAAATCAATACTGTACTCAATTCTTACAGTAATGGTCACCCGGAGCCTATGTGGGGGTGACTACAAGTGATATATTTGTAACAAAGCTTATTATCAAAAATAGGGGGTCCAGGCACCAAGTTATGCAACACAAAGGCCTAACTGCAAAAGTTTATGACAGCCCCGTCGTGGTGCTGGATGATGACTCATCCAGCCACAACGTGACACAAATATGCATACATGCTCATAATGTTATTATAAATTAGTTTAAAAACATTACAACGCAATTAATCAATTTATAAAATAAATCAAACCGATACAAGTATTGTTAAATTTTTCACCATTTCAGAGTTACGTATTTTGCGGGTACCCCCTATGTCGAAATAAAATAAAATCTCCTTTAGAACGCTAGATGGATTCAGATGCACAGTCTGTCTCTCGTGAATCTACTGGCCAAGATATAAGTTGGCCAATCCCTATAGTATTTACATTCATGCGAGAGGCATAACAACTCGACACGATTCACTTCTTTGTCAGATTCCCCGTTTTCATGCTGGCGGCCCTCGACACAAAACACGTAAGAAAAACGAGCACCACAGTTTGAGCGACGGAAGGGTGGTGCATGAATGTTGTGGTGGTTGTGCAAAGCGAATTAATTAGTTTATGATTTAAAATAATCCCATTGCATTGGGTAGGAGAAGTAAATAACGTGTGGGGTAGTGAGTTGGGTTTATTGAATTTTAAACAATTCTAAATTTTGTACAAAACTTACTATTTTTGCCTCGAATTTTCATGAAAATCATTTTTTAGACTAATTAAACTATGTTGGACAAGAATATAAAGAATATTGAGAAAAAATTTTTAAAAAAAGTATATTTATGGCCCATATAGGGTATTGTCCTAGCTAGGAGAGCTAGCTAGGAAAGATAGCTAGTAGAGCTCGCTAGGTGGTTAGGTTATGTTAGGGTAGCTGAAACATAAAATCTCATCTTACCCCAAAAATTTGATTTTACCCTAAAAAATTTCCTGCCGTAGGGGAAAGGGAGACAAAGTCTTGGAATTCTCTGAAATGTCCAATAATATTTTCTATACTAAATTTCACAAATTGATAACTTATTTGGTTTTGAATTTTTTCAAAAATTCCTTCATATGCTTGTTCAGTATAGTTTAATTAGTCCCGAAAATCGTTTTCATGAAAATCCGAGGCAAAAAATAATTTTTATTCAAAATTTCGAAAATTTCTAGAAATTATATTTTTCGAGGCCGCCGCGAAAAAAAAGGTATTTTCTTGCTCAGGGGACCATAGGGTATTCACACAAAAAATTTCAATCAAATCCGAGCTAGTCCACTGAACTAGATTTTTTTCCAACACAGTGTATGGATGCTAAAATCCGATGCATTTTGCAGCGGAATTGTGGTTGATTTTCCTTACGGACTGTTCTTCATCCCTCTCCACGAGAGTGAGAGAGGGATAGAACACTTCATCTACAAAACACGAGCAAATCAAGAGCAGCTGACAAAAACAAGATATTTAATTCCACTTCTAAATTAAAACCTGCTAAATTAAAATTAATTTAATTTACTTTGGCCAGTTAATAATTAAGTCTAAACAGAACAATTCACTCCAACGTTGCACTCATCTTCTTCATAATATAGTTGTAAGTGCATAATAATTTGCATTTCATGTCAAAATTTTAATTAATAAATATTTCTAATATGTACTACCAGTTTATTTACCAGAAATATGCTGAAAGAAGACGGATTAAAGAAAAGAAGGACGAGACATATTTTGCAAGACTTACTTTCCTCCACGGTCCGTCTTAAAAGACCAAATTATGTCCCCAGAAGTCACGGACGGGTTAAGAAGTTATCATGCGAAGAAAATGAGGAAAATCCTGTATCCCCAGAGGTAACGTCGTGCTGTTCGGTCTGCTCTGAATCTGGGACAAATCTGCGCCCTCTCGCCGTCCAAGAAATGGAAATTCTTGCCAAGTTCGTCCTAAGCCAGGAGCAAATTGCTCTCATTTTACAAACTGAAGATCATCCGCCAATATTTTGTTGCAAAATTTGTTCCTCCGCGATCCTCTCGTTGGCCAAGTTGTCCATGGAAATAGAAAATATTACGCTTTCAATTCGTGCTGTCATTTCCAGGAGGAACGGGCTGTTTAATAAATTGCGAAAAGAATCTGGCAAAATTCCTGGTAAATAATAATTTACTTGATTAATTAATCCTCTTAAATTAATCAATCTGTAATTAATTTTTGCCGTTCATTAATTATTACGCTCGCATAATGTAGACTTGTCCGGCGGAATAAGGACTGAAGAATCTTCCCAAATTAGCGGTACATAAAACTTTTCCAGTATAATTGTATCCAGTGGCAGTGGTGGCGGAAGCAGGGGGACAGGGGGACATGGTATGGTCCGCCAAGACATCTAGCCAAATGGTATCCTTCCCATGTTAATAAGTTCCTCCTGCTCCTATCCCACAGTGCTAATGTCCCCACATGTCCCTCAACTCCCGCCGCCACTGATCGTTATCTAATTAAATTGCAATTATCTAAATTATGTGTTTATTCATTTCCATGTGCAGAATTGTCCCCGGCGGAGAACAGTTGTCGCTTCGAGGAAAATTTACCAGCACCTAACGACCAGGAACAATTAACCCTTGAGCAGGATGACCGAATTTCCGTAAAATCTGAGCCCATCGCGGACGACGACGACGACGACCAAGATCTTGAAATCACACCTGATCTAGATTCTGATTACCAACCTGAAAAAGACGTGTCACCGGAAACCGGACAAATCGCCGATGACGATGACGACCTAGCTCCTGAAATCGCCCCTGATTCCGACTACGAACCAGACAATGCGGAAACGAGTGGGGAGGAGGAAAGTGACGATGACGATGACTATGGCGCAAATGTGTCTAAATCCAAGTCCAAGAAGTCCAAGTCGGAAGTTGAAGATGATATTGAAGCAAAACTAGTGTGTGATCTTTGTCAACCGATCGTCACCTTTACAAGGTATGACACCCTCCGGCGCCACGTGATGAATAACAAAATTCATAAAAATCTTAAACAGGAGGATTACATGCGTGAGTTTAATTAAATCCAAAAAATTTAAGTCCTGGAAAAAACAGAAAAGTTAATTTAACTACCTAATTTTCTATCTTGAAATTTGTAGCAACCCTAATCGCTGCTAAACAAAAGAAAAAGTAAGTTCAAATTTTAATGTGTAATATAATTCGTAATTAAATTCTGCTATTTATTAGAGAGTCAATGCCTTTCAGGGTTTAAGAAATTTGGAATTTGCTTAATTTTGAAAACTGAACTTATGTAAGAACTAGCCTATAAGCCCGTCCTGAAGACGGGCCACAAGAATTTTTTTAACGTGACTAAGGAATTTTTTCGACGTTGCTAAGGAAGGTTTTTTTTGTTGCTAAGGAAATTTTTTTATGTTGCTAAGGAATTTTTTTATGTTGCTAAGGAAATTTCTTATAATCCTAATCCTAATTATAATTATAATCATAATCATAGTCATAATCATAATTTGTGTCCCTTCCCTGATTGATGGAGCCAGAAAGCCGGCGGCCAATCAGAATGCGGGAATATCACGGAAAATTTCACGGGACGGACTTTTCGAAATTATAATATAGATTAGTTCAGCATTATAATTCCAGAAGATTGTAATTTTATCAAAAACGGGAAAATTGTGAAAATTATGAAGACTTAATATCAGATAACAAATTTCTCAGTTTTTATCATTTTTGACGTTCAAAATTTGAACCATGTGAAACAAATTTTGCCTGGATTTTTTTATTAATTAAGTTCTAAAATTCTTATTACAAAATATTATCTAACATTTTTTTTAATCCAGGCTCGTTCTCCGACATGAGCGGCGATTTCCATGCGACAAATGTGACAAACGGTTCAGCTCCAAGGACGGCGTCTACCGACACAATCGAACCGTTCACGATGGGGTTCGATACCGACGGAAGTGCGACCTCTGTCCGGCCGCCTATTACGACACGAGAACGTTTTACAACCACATGCTCAAAAGCCACAAGATTCCAATTCCTGCAAAGTACAGGGAAAAACAATTTTTTAGTCATTCCTGTGACATGTGCGAGAAAACCTTCACCATGAAGACGAACATGCATAGGCACGTGGAGCTGGTCCATTTTCCGGATAAGACGTCCTGTCCGTACGGATGTAAAAGCAAGATTGACTCGGAGGCTGAATGGTTGCAGCATTTGGAGGTGTGCGAGTCACCGAAAATTGTAAGAAATTTTGAATCATTTTGGATAAAATTTCGAAATCGAGGACTTATTATGCATATTTTGCAAGTTATTTCTTGAGTAAGTGGTTCGTTCCACCTGAAACGCTAAAGACGATAAGCTGCAAGGTGTTTACGAAAATGGATTTTATTTTATAGAAATTCAAAGTTTTTATCGCTGTAGGAATTCAGTATTTAAAAATTGACATTTTAAAAAGTTACTTTCTTCATAAGACTTATATTTTCCATTTCGCTTTTTTTGGGTGCAAAATAAAAACGAAAAAACGGAGTCAAAATAAGTCAATATTTTACTCACCCGTGATCTCGTAAATTTTTAAACATGGAATCAATCCATTATTTCTGTGTATTAGAATCTGCGATGTTAAAAAAACTTTTAATTATTCAAGTATTCACGATTTAACCACATTTTCTGATTTTGTCCTACAGACTGCAGAATCCGCATGCGTTTGCAACCACTGCAACGCCGTTTCACGCAACGTCCTGCTCCGGATGGAACATTACTTTCGAGAACATGAAGACAAATTATACACGTGTGCGCTTTGTGGGGGAAGATTCACGGTTCGAGACGTCCTCTACAATCACATTTGCACTGCAAACGCTGCCGGAAACTTGGGACTGACGCGGAGAGATAATTACAGTTGTAACATGTTGTTGCAAAATACTTCCGATTCATCGGAAAAATGAGACATTTTTCTGTCTTTTAAGAATAAATTCTTCTGGAGAAGTGCAAAATTGTGGACAAAAATCACTAATGTATGCACACTCTTAAAAAATGTTACCCGATTTAAAAGTAAATGTATCCTGAATTATGTAATAAGTAAACTATAGTCAATCCAGAGTAGCGTGAACCTGGTAAAGAGTAAAGTTTGCCCTGGATTTAGTGTAATTTACAATTACAATACTTAATTTAAAATGTACTGAATTTAATTTTGGATGGGGTAGCATTATTTTTATGAGTGTACAGACATCAGCGATTCTTTTGCAATTCCTGCCTGATTTTTTTCGAAACTTTCTACTTTCATAATTGCTATTTATGTACCTATTTACATAATCATACTTGTGTTTTTGCCGAATTTTATAATTTGTTGAGTTTCCATTGATTTATTCATGAGAATAAAATCGTGAAGGAAAGTTATTATCGTCCTGGAAATCATGCACTTTGTTCACGCGGACGTGGAAATGCAGCATTTTTGTGCAAGAATAAATTATTCTGTGCAAAATTGTGAATAATATTGTATAAATAAATTTCGCAAATATACACGCTATTATCTGCGTAGAATTCCTCTTGAGTTTTTCCTGGGTTTCATTTTTATAAATCTTGATACTTAATAGAAGTGGTCGTGTTTTGCAAATTTTGCAATTAGTTGCTCTTCCACTTCCAGTTATTTACTTGTATGCAATCCGACAAAAGAAAAACCTGTTAAATTGGAGTTCAATGGTACAGTTAAATTCGACCAATTAAAAAATTAATCAATTACAGCACGCTCTACTCGCAATGTTACTCATACTATTTATAAACCCAATAAAGTTAAATAAACTCCGTCACAGACTTTTTTAATCGTACTCAATCAGGGATGTGATATGAAAAATAGTATTCTTTCCACGTCCTTTGAAAAGCCACGTGCCTATTTTCATGGTAAAATTCCACTATTGCGTCAGACACGTTGCGTGTATGAAAAATAAACCGTTGTAACGTTAGAATTAGCTCGCCCTGTAATACATAAGTGAAAGAAGTGGATGGAATTGGTAGACAATTTTGACATAATCTTCACTCTTATGATATGAATATATATATACATGCATACATGATATATATATGTATATCGAACGTAAAAAGTCCCCTACGAAATTAATTCCGTAAATTGCGTCATTTAAATTTAAATCTTTTGGGTAACTATGATGACATCATTTGGCAGATCAAACAAACATTGGAATAGGGGTAAACGTCATCGTCGAAATTTTTTGAGAATTAGCCAGGAAAGGAAATGAAGTAAATATTACATGCATGTTACTAGTATTTATGCACTAAAATGTACTTTTTCATCAATATTTTGGCGAAAAAGTGAAATAGTTTAATTTTTCTCGACGATTTAAAAAACCGGGACACTTTATCAAAACCGGGACATTTTCGGGACGCCGGGACAGGGTTTGAAAAGCAGGACATGTCCCGGCTAGACCGGGACGGATGGTCACCCTAGTTGTGTAGAACCATGCAATAATTGTTAACTAATGGTGCAAAATAAATGGTGAAAATTGATACATAAGTTAAAGTTTGCACTAATGGTGCAGCAGAAATGGGGAAAATTGGTGCATAATTTTGACATGATTTCGAGGTTTTCGAGGTTACAAATGAACGCAAAAGACAAACGAATAACATGCCCCATTGATGCGAGTTGCATCGGTTCGCCCATATTATATAACGCACCATTTATCGTTCCCGATTGTTCGTTCCCAACGGTGCCAATAATGTCAAAAAAATTGAGCGGGGCTTATATAATTAGCATCAATTGATGCAAAAAACTCGTGAACAGACAGACAGACAGACGGACAAGAGGAATTCAATAGCTCTCATGCTACGCAGGGCGAGCTAATAAAGTCAATCTGATGATGCATAAATAAATATATGATGGCAACATTCATCCGTCGCGAAACTGGCCAATTTTTTCAGTGAAAGATAATTGCCATGAGAATTTAACGAACTGGTTTTGTTGACCATTTGCGCAATAACATGCAGCGATCAAAATGTTATTTGCATTATAGAATGAAGTGTTTAAACCTAAATTCATACATGAAAGAAGGTTATTTTCATTTAGTTTATTACCAGGGATCAACCATGCAAGGCAAAATAATTATCTGGACACTTCTGGATCTGGTGCTTTACACGTCTTTGCTACAAATGTAAATTTCTCTAATAAATCATTTTAATAACAATTTCTTCATATTTTATTAATTTTTATGCAGAAATGCGAGTGCTGAACTTGGAATTGGGACAAATAAAATTTATGAGGGGAAACCAGGTCAGGCTTATAAAGGCCTCGTGCTGGAAAATGGATTAAAAGTAATTCTTGTGAGCGACCCGAATACAACATCGGAAGCAGCATCGTTACATGTTGCTGTCGGTAAGCTGAAACGATTTAAAGTTTTGATGCACAGATATAGAGTAGAATAGATCAGGCCACTTCCACACAATCAATGTTAAAAACTCGGCAATGTTTTTGAGGTGGGACTACATAAATCCTGCCTGCGTCTACCAGCCAAGCTTGTTAAATGTAAAAACGATAAAACCAAAATCTCAGCTGATATCAATTAAAATTAAATTTTAATTAATTAAGCCTCATCAGTAAGTTATATTACATTCTAAAAACCTGTATTTGGCAATGTTTCTGATTAGAAGAGAGAAACTTATAGGAATAGAATTATTTCCGCATTTTTAAGCATTTTTTCATGATGTGCAAACATGCTAAGCACTCCATGTGCCACCGTGCAACCATGGGTTATCCCCAAATTCCTGCTGAGACGCTTTTTACTAATGTACATAGCCGAATCTATTCTACTCACAGGAGGTCTCCCAATGTATGCCCACAGATTTGGACCAAACTAGTGTCAATCGGTCACAAATATAATTAGCATGGAATTTACAAATGGAACTATCTGCCAATACGCAGGTTTGGCGGAGATATTTGCATTCAAAACAGACAAAACGCGCAGGAAATTTGGAAAATGGAAAATATTCCAGCCTTTTGGTGCGTTTTCTCCTCTTTTTATGCAAATATCTCCGCCAAACCGGCGCATTGGCAGATAGTTCCATTTGCAAATTTCATACTAATTATATTTGTGATCGATTGACACTAATTTCGTCCAAATCTGTGAGCATACGTTGGGAGACCTCCATTGCGAGTATCTATGTTTTGATGTTCACACCGAATTTTAACTACAGGATCCATGAATGAACCCAGAGAGCTACAGGGTCTCGCACATTTACTAGAGCATGTAATTCTGCTAAGAGGAAGTACGAAATATCCAGAGTTACAAGGGTTTGGAAAGTATTTGCATCTTCATGGAGGCTTTAGAGACGCAACGACACGACCGGATAACACCGAATATTATTTTTCTCTCAACCCAAATGCGCTAGAGGGCGCTTTAGATCGGTCGGATTAATATTTAATTCCGTGTTTTAAATAAACAGATTACAGATCTGATTTATGTTTATAGTCTATTCAACATGGTTCATTCTCCCATCTTGTCGGAATCTTCAATAACAGCGGAAATTGATCTTGTTAGTTCAGAAAATACGAAATACATGCCACGAGACGATTCCAGGCTTGGGCGCATTAACATGCACACATCCCGTGTGGGGCATCCTTTCAACACATTCACAACCGGAAGCAGGGACACTTTATGGAATAAACCGAGAGAATTAGGTCTCGATGTTCGAAATGAGACGGAGCAATTCTATAAAAAATTTTATTCCGCAAACTTGATGACCTTAGCGGTCATAGGCAAAGATAATTTGACCATTCTGGAAGAAATTGTGACTCGGATTTTTACCCCGTTAAAAAACAGGAATGCAACTCTGTCTAAATGGGAGCAGCCACCCTTTGGACCTTCTGAACTTGGGGTCAAAATTGAAATGGTTGCCATGGGGGAGATGAAACGATTGATTATGCTTTTCCCAATTCCTGATCAGGACAAGGATGTTTTTGTAAGTAGCAGAGGATAAATTTTTGCAGGTAATTGAATAACTGGCTTTTCATCACTTTTAGAAAAACTATATCGCACCTGTGATGACGCAAGGAGGGAATCATTCACTGTTCTCATTTTTGAAGTTAGAAGGCTTTGCAACCTTAAGTAGTGCTTTGGTGGATGAAAAATTTCGAGGATGTTTTTCATTGGAAGTTACCCATGACCTCACAGATTTGGGGGTTTTAAGACACGAAGAAGTGGTTGTGCAATTCTTCCAGGTATGAAATTTTGAACTTAAAGAATTAACGAATTTCAATATATTTAAGACAATATACATACACTAATTTCAGTTCGTCAACCTTTTACGGAACTATCCTCCTCAAAAATGGTTTTGGGATGAGGCAGAAGAAGTTAGGAATTATACTAGAAAATACAAGACAGATGTTGAAGCTTATGTAGTTGCATCATCGCTTGGGAAATCTATGATTGTAAGATTTACATTAATCATTTGCTAAATTTGAGATATATCAATCAATTCTGGTCAATCCTGTAGGAAAACAGCCCCGACGAAGTTATTTCGGAATACTTAAATCCCAAAAGAATCCCTTTCAATTCCACGCAAATTATTAATTCGCTTGAGTGGATAAGGCCGGAAAACATGAGGTATATATTTTGAAGGTTGGTAGAATTGTTCTAATTTTTTTAAATTAATTAAGTATATTTCTCATCCAGGCTATACTTGGTGTCCAACTCCATCAAAAACGCGTCCCGCACGGAGCCCCATTATCAAGTAAAATATAATTTCGAACCTTTCGATTCAGAGTTCTTGATGGTGAGTATTTCAGACTTAATCATCTATGTATTTGTATGATACATACATATTACTAGAAAATATACATAGGCCATGAAAACAAACAAGTCACACCCAAATATCACCTTTCCCTCCAGCAACGTTTTTATACCAAAGGATTTTACAATTAAGCAGAATGTAAAGAAACTTTTACTTGTAATGACTATCGAACCTAGTTGAATAATGAGTCCTAATGTAGTTATGTACTTCCGCTAGATATCGGAGGATATTTACAAATATACAAATTTCTCCAGCATCTGGATTTACGCGAATAATGAAACAAATTCTCCGAAAATTGAGGTTACGATCGGGCTTTACAGGTAACACTGAAATGATATATATATACAGGGTGGTTTAAATGTCACGCAACAATGGAAAATTTTTCAATGGGAAAAATCCCTAAATCCCCATTAGTTACAAGATTTTGGATTTAGATTTTTATAATTATTATCAAAACTGATGGAAAACTAATGACGAAATTCTTAAAACATTTAATTTTAGAGACAAAATTTTGGTAACTAATGGAAATTTACAAATTTCTCCCATCGAAAAATTTTCCATTGTAGCGTGACATTTTAACCACCCTGTATATATATATATATACCAGTTCATTCTAAAAGCAACGCAATCGAAGGAAGAATTTCGCAAAAAAATTGTTTTTACTGCCCTTAATCTTTAAACTCGTTAATCAACTAAAGTCTAACGCTTTAAATAGTGTGATTAACAGCAAGTTATGAAATTACTTAAGGGATTCAAAATTCGATATATGGGAATATATCTAAATTTCATCAGAGAAATCCTTAATAAAAATTTGCAGCAGGACGTTAATTACATTTTCATCTATATATGTATGTAGTCTTTACACTCCATATTCCACGCCGCAAGATACTGGGCTGAACAACCTTTTGGCCACTCTCATAAAGACAAAAATTTCTCGGATGTATGATAAGGCTACGATCGAGCGGGTACCTCGATCGAAATTTCGAGTGTAACTTATGGTTTAAAGGTACATGTTTAAGAGTTTAATTATGTAAACGAGACAATTTTTTACATGCAAACCTTATTGCGATCAGATTCTCCTTTCAAAACTCAAACTCATAGTTTGCTTCATATTGGAAGTAAATTTTGACAATATATTTAGATTAACGTAAAGGGAATTACAAATGCCTTGGCCCGAATTGTGACTGAATTAATGGACACAATTTCTTCCTTATCATTTGCAACATCTGAGTTTGACCTGGCTAAAGAAATTTACCAAACCTCATTAATAAGTAAAATGCACAATACATATTCCTGCCTAAGAGTTACTCCTTCACGCTGAGATGGTCAAAGAATAAACTGGGTTGAACATGGTTTGCGTCGGCATTGTCACTGTAAAATTAATGCCCAAGGGAACTAAATATTAATGGAGAGTATAATAGCATGAGGTTGAAATTTCAAATGGATTACACATTCTACGCGGTTTAGCTCTGCTAAGACATTAGCGTATGAGAAGGCATAAAAAGTTTCGTGTTGGGCTTCCTTGAATAATTTATTGAATGTGCGATTAGTTGATGAAAAGGCAGATTGTTGCCGTACTTAGTCGGAGAACCAAGATGGTGATGTAAATCTTTGATAAATATTTTTAGACTAACATATCTTCTTATAAGCTGGAAATGTCTCTTGGCAACGGAAGTGAAAGTTATTTTCCGCTACGGAAGTGAAAGTGGAGAAAGTTAAGTTTCAAATGGCGCGACAATTCAAATTAAATTCTTAATTTTAAAAATAAATACCCCCATAACTATCGTCTCCTGACAACCACCCCCAGATCACCACTGCCACTGTCTGACAAGCACGCCCAGATAACCACCTCATGATAACCACCCACAGATAACCACCGCCTGAAATCACCTCCTGACAACCCCCCAGATAACCACCCGCTGATAATCACCCCTGATAACCACCCCCAGATAACCACCATCAGGCAACAGCGCAGGGTCGATGGATTGTGATACATCGGGACTGGGACGAGTGTGCTGGGCTGTGCTGTTCGCACAGCACAGTCAACGACGGTTCTTTAGGGATGGTTATACTGAGTGGTTATCTAATAATACTTATATTGGTTATCTTGGCCACTGTACTTTACAGTAAAGTTAAAGTGAAATGGTAAATTGCGGAACATTTACTTTCACTACCCTTGATTCCTGACAACAGACATTTCCAGCTACTAATATAAGATACAATGGAAAAATTAATTCGGTGGAGTTATGCACAATCCTACTCAATTTTAATGAAAATTAATTAAGCTGCCGCCCGGCGGGAGACGGGCTTATACGCTAGTTTTTAATAAAACGCAAGTTTCCAAGAGTATTAAGAAACCGAAGATGCTAATTTGTGTTAACTTATCCGTTAACACAAATTAATTAGCAGTGCTAATTCGTCTTAACTTACTTATTAAAACAGGAGAAAACGCAACCCCAAGGGTGGCAAATATTTCATTTTCCATATTTGCTGCGCATTTTTCCTCCTTTGGATGCAAACACTGTTAGAAAAAATTTTACTTTTTTGAAAAGTAAGTGCACTTTTTACTCCATATGAAAAAAAGTTTACTAAATCCAGAGTAACGCTTACTTGGTACGGAGTAAACCTTGCTTCATATGGAGTAAAAAGTGCACTTACTTTTCAAAAAAGTAAAATTTTTTCTAACAGTGAATATCTCCGCCAAACTGGCGCATTGGCAAATAGTGTCATTTGCAAATTTCATACTAATTATATTTGTGATCGATTGACGCTGGTTTGGTCCAAATGTGTGACCATATGTTCGGAAACCTCCATTGTGAGTTATTCACTTTTAGAAAATACACCCCAACACCCTTCAGAAGTTGTGGGCTATGAAGGACATGCGCATGGCATGCTTTTTTAGGGTAAATTTTTTTTAAATATTTGCGGAATTACATACTTATGTATGTCACTCACTACCCATAACATGGGTAATATGGGTTAGTAATTACCATATTATGGTAATTACTTTCGGGAATTCATATTGGGGAATAAAATGTTACGAATTTCCTGTCGTCCAACGAAAAAGGAAACGCAAGAGAGATCGTTTTGATGGAAACGGGCCGCCTGAGACGATGAAACATTCAAGTAATCGATTTATGAAATTATTCATTGTGTATTTTGGAAACAATGGCAGGATATGTACATACATATACATATCGTCGTACTAATTCTAAAAAGGCCTAAGTGCAGTCAATAATAAATTTTAGAAAGGCCTATCTGCAGCCAATGCTAAATTTTAGAAAGGCCTATGTGCAGTCAATGTTTAATTTTAAAAAGGCCTAAGTGCACAATAAAAACTAGAAAAAGGCCTAACTGCAATTCCAAAATTATAAATGGTTAATTAATTATGTAAAATCATACTGTAACCTGAAATGTGAGTATAATATTCGGACGAGGCCAGTCCTGATATAATACTTGAATTTCAAAACCACACCCTCGAGGGGTGTGGTTCTGCTGACCTAAATTTGCTTAATAAAATCCTAGCGTGCAATATGTCGTATTACTCAAATTAATGAGGCAATTCCAAAAAGAATATTACAAATTTGAAAAACACACCCCCAGGGGGTGTGGTCATCGGCATCAAATTTAATTTTAAAAAATCCTGGCATGTGATACTTCATTTTTATCAGCCCAATAAAGCAATCCGAAAGGAATATTGCACATTTGAAAAACACACCCCCAGGGGGTGTGGTCATCGGCATCAAATTTAATTTTAAAAAAGCCTGGCATGTGATACTTCATTTTTATCCGCCAAACAAATCAATCTGAAAAACTTGGTGGTGCGTGGTTCCTGACGCCTAAATAAAGTTAATAACATCCTGTAATATGCCATGCCACTTATCTTTGCCCGATTACGAAATTGTGGCAGAGTCTACAGCAATTGAAGAACCTCCCCTCTGTAGGAGAGTGTTCTTTACACCTACCTACATAAATTTAGCTGAATACAGCCATCGAAGGCATGAAGTGTGTGTTTAAATGTGTAATTAAAACAAGTTCAAAAACAAAACTGCATTTAGAATTATAAACAAGAACTATTTACTGTTCCACATCATGACAGTGTTGCGAAGAATGAACAGGGGAAGCAGTTTCGTAGTTTTCAGGAGGAAATGCTTATGAAATTTTATTTCAGTCGTGTGTTGCAAATGGCAACCTAAAATGGCAAATGATCGAAATATTATAGGTGCCAACGAAATATTCATAAAAGCGTGCGTACTTTGACAGAATACGGTTATGATAATTACAGATAAAATGATTATTTTACTTATGTAAATTATTAATTTGGCAAACTATGTAGGTATAAGCCGCTTTGCCATGCAATTATAATTCTAATACTGATAGGGTGCAAATAAGTTGGCCTAATTATAAATCAATTGTATCTTGAGATAAGCCCAAGTTAAACTACAAAATTACAAAATATCATTAATCAGTGCAATTATATCTGAACAAGTTGAGTCACGCATGGAATTGAAATTTTCGTCGCGTAATTGAGAATGCTTTGGGGCACGAAAGGACATTTTTTAGCGGGTTTGTTGGGAGAGTCAACTGGAATACTTTGGAGTGTTCTAGAAATTCGCATGTGTTGTTGTTGCATTTTTTTGTGAAATTTTGTAAAAATCAAAGTTATCATCAATGTCAGACTCCGAAATAGAGACGGATTCATCTGACTGGTCGTACCAAGGGACGACTGAAGAAGAAGAAAGTGAAGGGGACGACGTATTTTCAGTAGACGAAGTTGTGGCAGCCACGGGTGTTGATTTCGGTAAATTTTTAATACGTGCAAAAAAATTACCATTACTAACCTGGCTAAACCTACCAAGAAATCCAAGAACTCTGGAAGACATTGTTTTCCCGGCCCTGTACGAATGCAGATTAAAAATTCCAAAACGAAAATACGACGACCTTCAGGATCTTCTTCAAGTAATTCCTCAGCAATTTCATGATTTTTATATCAATTTGCCAAAATAAAACATGTGAAATGCGTAAAAAATATGCGAAAAATGTGTAATGTAGGTTTACTTACTAGTATTTTCATTGTCATCTAATAAAACCAGCAATTTTTGATACTTAATTCATGTACCAACTATGACTTGCAATGCTTGAGTTTTTTTTTCAATTTACGAGTATGATAATCACCCCAAGATATTCGTATTCACACATTATAATCCTTCGGCCTGAGTGAATAATTGATCCGTTATTACGGGGTTAAGAGAGGCAGAATCTCTTTATTGAAATACATTGTCCTTCGGAACCTCTAAATCCACCAAAAATGCGGAACAGATTCGAGTTGCGACAATGTGGGGTGTCAAAGCGAGCCATACTGCTACGTGAGTAGCGCGATATGCGATATGTTCGAAACTGACGGAGAAGTGTGGGAACGAAGTGGGTGCGCCATAAGGTCAATTCCCTGTGGTTTCACCCCTTTGATACATTTCGTTTGCTGCAGTTTAGTATATGGAATTACAGGTTTGTATATGGGTTCCTAATGCTAATACAACGGGACAACGCCAGAGACCTCGGTCCGATTTCGAACAAATTATGTGGAGTTATGTAGATGATTCAACCAATCGAAATTATGAGGTGGTTGGCAAATTTCGTTTTTATAAATCTTTCCCGGGAACATTTCACGGGCACATTATAACTTTATTATATCATCTTTCAAACTTAACACTGTGAAAAATCTCCACAAATGAGTTTAACAACTTATCTAACTATGTATGTATATACTTCTGCAGTAAGGCTAGTTACTTACTGAAGGAATGCTATATACATACTCAATTAATGTGGTCAAATCTAAATCGGGCATCACAGCATCCCCAGCAGTCAAAATCTTGGATTACAGATGAATGAAAAAAATGCGCAAGACAACCATAGCGTATAAATTGCAGGTGGTGAGCGGCCAAAAAAACACCACCCAACGGTGCGGTTTTTAAATATTTCATGTTTGACGGTATAGCTTCATCGTGAAGAAAAAAGTGTCCAGTACTCCAAACTTTTGTTTAGCTATAGAGTTTCAAACGTCGCTTCGAGAATGTTTCACTTGAGTGAGACAAATGATGATTACATATAACTTCAATTTGCTGCTAATGAACACACCCCCTGGGGGTGTGTTTTTCAAATGTGCAATATTCCTTTCGGATTGCTTTATTGGGCTGATAAAAATGAAGTATCACATGCCAGGATTTTTTAAAATTAAATTTGATGCCGATGACCACACCCCCTGGGGGTGTGTTTTTCAAATTTGTAATATTCTTTTTGGAATTGCCTCATTAATTTGAGTAATACGACATATTGCACGCTAGGATTTTATTAAGCAAATTTAGGTCAGCAGAACCACACCCCTCGAGGGTGTGGTTTTGAAATTCAAGTATTATATCAGGACTGGCCTCGTCCGAATATTATACTCACATTTCAGGTTACAGTATGATTTTACATAATTAATTAACCATTTATAATTTTGGAATTGCAGTTAGGCCTTTTTCTAGTTTTTATTGTGCACTTAGGCCTTTTTAAAATTAAACATTGACTGCACATAGGCCTTTCTAAAATTTAGCATTGGCTGCAGATAGGCCTTTCTAAAATTTATTATTGACTGCACTTAGGCCTTTTTAGAATTAGTACGACGATATGTGGGTTAGTCATATCTAACTTAGAAATCTCGGGATTCAAATAATGTGAAATTCTTATCTATTTATGGAATATTTATGATACAGATTTTCTATATTACCACACTATTAAAAATAGTGTTATTTTTTTTAAAAGCCACTGCAAACTTAATTCTCACTTCATAAATCCAGAAAAAACGTTATTGTTCATAAATATTAAAGTTATTCTTGATTTGGTACAGTTTATTTGAATTTATGCTGCACCAACTTATTTTCTTTTTAAAATAGCGACATTATTTTTAAGAGTGTAACCATTGGTTACACCATTAGAAGTATTGTTACGCCTTTGGTTGACCATAGTTACTAGCTATGATTAATCCTTGTCGCTAAGATGTCGCGTTACGGGTTAACCCGGTTAAACCTGACCGGCTCGTAACCCGATCGGGTTTAGAAACTCAGGGGGTGGAGTTTTCAACATGACTCATCTATATTTCGACCCATCACTATTTCAGAATACAGGCGCTGTCACGGTGACCGACCTGATGGCATCTCCCATGGCGCAGGGTCTTTTTCACCGGGCCATTGCAGCCTCCGGAACTGCTTTAAACATTTGGAGAACAGGGACCAACTCTGCCGACGTGATTAAAGGAGCGCTAGCAGTCTCTCAGCGGGCCGGGTGTTACGATGGGCTTTCCGCCCCAGATTCAGGTTCGATTGGACGGTGCATGCAAAGCGTTCCTGGCCTCTTGCTGGTGACTATTTTGGACGAATATCAGGTGTGTTGCGGGACGGGTTGAATATCATTGTAAGGTTGTCATCCATCGATGGAAGGATTCTGCATAGCATTATCAAAATTCGGCAATAAATATAATGGGAGCAGCAAAGTGTATTTAGGATTGATTATATTTGTAAGTCAGACATCAGTTCAAGTGGATTGAAGGAATTATAGACTATTATCCTCTCATGGTCCTCATCCAAGCTGTGAACTTGTTGAAGTACTTTGCTCGCTTTGAATACGATTGTTTGTTAAATAGAGTCTGAACATAATTCAGCAAAATAAAATAGTGATCATAGTATGCATTGTTAGACGGCGTAAAATTTGACAAACATGTAAACCGTATTTCATTTTTGGCTTTATGTTTCAGAGAAGCCTATTATAATAACTGAAAACGCTGAAAATTATAAGTAATCTGTAACACTGATACATACTTTGATTATTCACAGCTTGCTGAACGTAGAGAGGGTCGACTTGGATTTTCGGTCGTGTCTCCTGTCGTACAATCCTTCGAAATGGTGATGTTTCCTAAATTTCTCCGAGAAGACCCCGCCATCGTATTTGCAGAGGGGCGAGAAGCGCCGGTCCCGTTGATGATGAGCACTACGAAGCACGACGGATCGAACATCATGGGACTGTTTTATAACAGGTTTTTACGGGACAATGGCCTCGACAGGAATGTCACGTATTTGCGGTATGACTTGGTCCCTGCGGCCTTGAATGCATTAGGTAGTATGACAAATAATTCATAAAGACAGTGTCCATACCAAACCTTGAAGCCTTGGCAGCTGGATTTGTTATTTTTGAATTTCCATCCAAAATAGGTCACAGACCATGAAATTAGTGTAATCGAAGAAAAATTTTGAAAAAAACTTGTTTCAGTCCTTCGTAATGGCCGTTTTTGCGATCTGGAATAGGGTTCGTAGTACGGCGATTTTTTCGTCAGTTTTTGGGCTAGAAAGCTGAAATTTCGTATTCTACACCTTCTTGAGTGTCCCCAGGCGGGACTTTTTCGTTTTAAGGTTAAATGTCGAAAATGACCTTAAAACCGGTCGCTTTTCGACATGCTCATTTTCCCATGGTTTTATACATATGATGTCAAGTGTCACATAGCCCCATAAATGGGGTATCGTGAGAAAGGTCTCGAAAGTGGAAAGTGGATTCAGAATATATATGCTTTGTGGGGTCTGGGACCACCCCCTGATTAGTTAGAGGCCAATGAGTAATATTGAGTTTTCGTCGGTCTTTTGCTATGTTGGCTCTCTATCTACTGCTGTGTTAAATGTTGTATGCCAAAACTCGTAACAATCTTTGATTTTTAGAGAATCAGGGGGTGGTCCCAGACCCCACAAAGTATATATATTCTGAATCCACTTGCCGGGACTGAAACAAGTGTTTTTTTTTAATTTTTCTTCGATTACACTAATTTCATTGTCTGTGACCTATTTTGGATGGAAATTCAAAAATAAAAAATCCAGCTGCCAAGGCTTCAAGGTTTGGAATGAACACCGTCTAAATAGGTTTTACTTGGTTCATAAGTTTAGGACATTCTTCAACTAAATATGTCCTCCCAAATCGAGTTTTGAACCAGGCAGCTTATCATTAAAAGTTAGAGACACTCATTTCCACACTATGTCTTATCTTCTAAGGTGTTCCCGATATTCCTGGTGGAATTCATGAAACAATATCTCGCACTTATCTTGGCGATGCACACAATTTTGGAAATTTTAGCCTCATGTATCCCGGCCTAATGGATATCTTCTCAGTCTTCTCCTACAAAGGGGACTGTTACAAGACGGCCTTCCTTCACTCCAGGAAAACAGGGTTGCCCACTTTTTGGTTGTCGTTCGAGTTTAGGGGAAATGTCTCGTTTTGGGGTCAACATTTTCCGGGAGACGTCCTACCCCCATTTCCAGGCGGTGTCACACATACGGATGATCTTTGTTACTTCTTTGCTTTGACCTTCCTTCCTTGGAGCGATGCTGAGGCTGCCACCTCGTCGAGAATGATGTCGTATTGGGCGGATTTTGCGACAGTGGGGTAATTATAAACTAATTTGCGATATGATGCTTAGTTGCTTAGCAATTTTGTTAAGAACTAATTTTTGAGATGGTCAAATGTACCCGAATTTATTCTATTTCGATAGACGACCCCACCCAGATTGGCCGGAATTAAAGTATGACAATGAAGCATACTGGATTGTGGATGAAGTGCCTTCAACCGGTCTGGACTTTCCAAGCAAATGGGTTGGTCCGGGCTATGAAGCGGCGAGGCCTCCAGTTTAACTACCTGTCAATAACCTTCATACTGATCATTCACTCTTATTCTATTTAACCATTAGAAGTCGGATGGCTTCACATAATAATTTTGATGAATTAAATATTTACTGAACAATTTAAAGAAAATAAATCCTACATTTATTAATTCAAAACTTAAATCCCAACTTGAATTTATTTCGTGCTTTGGCGTTGGAAAAAATTAGCAACAATAGGTATGTAGGTAGATATTTATTAAGTTCGGTTGATGTGGCCTCGGCCTTTACAATGATACATATTTCATTGTTAAATATAATGAAATTGGTAACAATAACTAAAACAATAATATCCAGACAGATGGTTTATTTGGGAAAATTGTAATAAATAACCTGTATTCAAAACGGTGAAATTCAAAATTCCTACTTTAGTTTCTCACATAAATTGAACCCATTCAAATTCCAAGTTTTACGTGCAGAAGTAAATACATACGTACCATATACGTACATGAGGACAATATAAAATACGCAGCAGAGACAAAGCCTGGTGTAGAAATTTGAACAAAAACGAGTTTGGATATGGACTTGGTATAAATATGCATCTTTAATTATCGACATTGTCTAGTTCTTGCGAGTAAAGGCTTCATTTCTCTGAATGCTACGTACTTTTATACTCGTTTTATATCCAATTCTCCTTCCCATTTTCATTCACGTATTGTATTTAATAATTTAATCAGTTAAGATGTCAAAAAAACCTCACATGATATTTTTATTAAATATCTAAAAAAAAAGGCCACACCCACTCCAGTCAGGAAAAATTACAAAGTGATAGAACTTTCTATAAACTTGTGATAATCAGGAGGTTGTTTAATTAACTGTAATTTTTCTAAACATTTGTAAGTGGGTTAAGCATGTAAATACGTATCCTGGGGTATAAATTTATTTGCAGTTGAGAGTGCCTATAAAATAATCAATGATGTGTCATCATATTACATACGTTTTCCTTATAAACGCGAATCTCTGCGCTAATACTTATAAATTGAGTAATTTTGTTATCCATGTTGTAATACAAGTGCATGCGTAAATTTGTATGCATTTCCTCGTTTTCCTCAAACAAAAATTCAATTTCTCATGCTGAAAAGTAAACAACTGATAATAAACTAGCATTTTGTTACAATGGTTGTTAAAATTGGTAATTTCACATTGACATGTTTGAAACCTTCGTTATTCGTGTATTTAGAACCCTGCCGTAAACTAGCAATGCACCATAACCAGTTGTACTCTCATCCGAATTCTTCCCATGTTAAAGTCTCATAGCGTCTTTCTCGTGTTTCAATAGGGGAGATGAGATCGTTTTAGGCCTTTTAAGATGGCCTTATAGATTTGTCAAGATGTCTGTCTGTCCGTCCGTCTGTCCGTCCGTCTATAGGCATGATAACTCTCTCTAAACAAAAGCTATCGAGTTGAAATTTTGCATGCTTCGTCTTTGGGTAAAAATGTGAAGTTCCGTTTATGGGGGGAGGGGGGGGGTTCACTGCATTGATGGTGGTGGTGAGGCAGATGAGACGATCGTCGTCGTTGTTGTACATGGAAATAAATTGCGTCTTGGAGGCAAGGTGAGATTTGGTGAGACAAAGTCAGGACAGGTTTTATTGCACGTATCAAGATACAGGCAGTCGACTCGCTGTCGATGGTCACTCTTGTTCTTACTTATATACCACACGTATACCTATTTAGTCTACTTATATGTCTAACCGGTTATTGGGTGGTAAGAGTTGTAAGAATTATAAGAGTTGCCTTTTTGACATAGTGATCATTGATCAACAACACAACTACGAAAAGGAGATAGTGAGAGTTGCAGATCTAAAGAACCAGTTTTTCAATAAGGATTTGGCAAAGATCACCTCTTCACAAAAAGTAAGGATGAGTTCGGAGATGAGCATGATCGGTCAAGTGGTTGGCCGGTGGGGGTCATTTCCACCCAAATATGTTGCCATTGACTACCAAGATGACATTAATGCCATCTTAAAAGGCCCCGCAAAGTTGCTTGGAGTAGGTTTTTCTATTGAATTTATTTTAAGACTCGGGTGGGTTTTCGCTTTTGAATTATTCAAGTATTTGTCCCCAACAGTAACGATGAAGCCCACTAAGAACGCATTTCCCTAGTAAAATCGTCCTTCTTCGAAGCTTTGGTCGTTGCATAAGGATTATCCACCACCAAAGCTCCCGATTACCCAGTGTATGGTGATTCGAAAATTGGCAAGCCCTGTTTGTGACAATTTACGAATTTATACGGCCACTGAGGGCCTGGGGAGATGAAATTGAATTGAATCGCAGTCTAATTTCCTTTGAAATGATTCCCCATATGACAAATTATGAATCTTTTGACCTTTGACCTCGTCCTCAAGGTCATAAGGTCAAAAATATTAACATTCTTGAAATCGCAGTCAAATTTCCTTCACAATGATACCCCATATGACAGTTATGCATTTTTTGACCTTTGACCTCGTCCTTAAGGTCACAAGGTCAAAAATTTTAACGCCATTGAATTCGTGGTGAAATTTCCTTTAAAATGACACCCCATATGAAAATTAATGTTAAATTTAATTTGGACCACACCCCCTGGCGTTGTGGGGTGTGGTCCGATTGACCCAATTTTCGAACTCGACCGAGAACTAAAAATTAGACGCACAATGGCGAAAACGGGGTTTGATTATATTGACTCGTTCTAGAGATATCCTGCTTACAGACGGACAGACGGACGGACGGACAAAACGATCACAATAAGTAGCTGACGCTACTTAATAAATTTAGGATTTTTTATATGAAATTCGGTGAAGTCGACGCGAAAAGAGCTTGCCATTTTGGCTCATTTTGTACCTACACTTTTGGGTAAATTTTAGGGCCCGTCCTTCAAAATTTGGAAATAGGTAAATGGAATCTTGGTTAGACTTAACTACATATTATTTAAACTTTCAAAATCATTTAAATTATTTTCAATTAGCGCTATAGTTTCACATATGAGCAAATAGCGACTCCGACTATACAAATTGGAAACCCTGTATTACAAAAATTTTGGTATATTGCATAACAAACATGTTGTAACGCTAAAGCTAATACTCATAAAGTCGTGATGATTAGAATCTGTACACAGATTCCGTACAAATTAATCTGCCCAGAATTATTTTGGAGGGACATTTTGCTATTAAATATTTAAGTAACGCGCATTTTAATTTCTCCCCGTAATGAAAAGATTTGCACATGTAACTTTGTGATTTCGAAATTGTATTTTAAACCAGACAAAATATGTCACTGCTCAACTACATACAACCTTAATACGCTGTGTAGATTTATTATCTCCCACTTACGGTTTTTGGCCATTAACTTTTAAATTTGTTCATTTTTTGATAATTATAATTGTTAATAATTTTTGACAATTTTTTTGGAATATGAGGTAAAAGGTCAATGCAACAGGAATCACAATACATACAGGGTGGTTTAAATGTCAGGTTACAATGGAAAATTTTGCACGGGAAAAAATTCTTAAATTTCCATTAGTTACGGATTTGGGAGTGAGATTGTTATTAATTTTTATCAAAACTTATGGAACACTGTTGATAAAATTCTTAAAATATTGAGTTTCAGAGGCAAAATTTCGACCACCCTGTATATTCCCTGACGATGGAATAAAAATATAAATTGTCGTATTTACAGATCAATCTCAATGATTAGGTCAATGGTGTAGGCCCATTACATAGTTTAGATGTCCCACCTCGTCCCTGGCATACGATAGCCTTCGATTTAATTGGGCCCATTCACCCTGCTAGCACCCCTGGGAATTTCCAATATATTTGCACGGCTGTAGATTACCTCACCCGTTTCGTCGTGATGCGTATTGCTGATTCAGAAACGCTAGCCCGTTTCTTAATCAACCATATCTACTTTATCCATGGGGCCCCTTCAGTAATAATATGTGATAATGCCTCCATAAACCGTTCTAAACTGATCGAAGCCCTCACCAAGGGTCTGGGCACAACTCTCCGTTTTACGGCTCCTTATTAGAGCCAAAGCAATGGCATAGTCGAAAAAATGAATATAAGCGTCTCCTCCGTTCTAAGCACCCTAATCCAACAATTCCCTAACTCATGGCATGTTTTCTTAGTCCCAGCTACATATACAATTAACACGACAGTTAGTAATGCTACTTCATTCACCCCATTCTACTTAAACAGGGGTTATGAACCTGTTTCCCCACTTGAAAGTCAATTTGATTTACCCGATTTAATGGGGACTTATATTGAACGAGTACAAAGTGCTCGGGAAATCGCTAAACTCAAAATTTTGGAAGCCCAAGAAATATACAAAGAACGATGGGATAAAACCCATCGTCCAATTAAATACGAGGTGGGCGACCTCGTCTTCATTGAATACCCTAACTTGCATACCACTCCTCTCTCTCAAAAGTTACAACCTAAATTCGCTGGTCCATATCAAATTACCAAAGTTCTCTCGGATCTTAACTGTGAGGTCCGCCCCTTAAACTCCAAAGCAGGCACTAAAGTTATGAACATACGAAAATTTAAACGCTACACGCCTCGACCACCCGACCTCGACTTCACTCCCTCCTTCCACCCTTCTCTCATCCCGACGGCCGTTCCCCATACGACCATTGAGGATCTCCCTGACGACACCGCCCCTATTGACTCCATTACTCCCAACCAAGCCCCACAAGACATTGCATCTTCTGGCTACAAGACTCGTTTTGGACGCCATGTAAAGCCTCCGGCGCGTTTTCAATGAACCATACCTTCCTTACAGATTACCAAAATAAATCTCGCCCTCCTCTTTGCCACTGGATCCATTTTCTTGGCCCACGCCCTTGCTGTCTACATTCCTCCCACCATACGCGTTACCCCTGGTCTGGACTTTCGTCCCGTCCCGGACAACGTTGTCATCTTCAGCCAAACAACCCCCATCTTCTTTACGGCCAACCTCACCATCCTGCGGACCTACATGTATGACCACTCCATCATGAACAAAAATTGTTCAGGCTTTACCCCCACCCAGGACATGATTCCGCTTTGTTTATTCTCCAACGATATAATTAAAAATCTGAACTTTCTCACGGAACGGAATAACCTTCTCACCCACGCGTTCCTCGACGTCGATTCGCA